AACGTTCAAGTCGGGGCTCTTGCTAGGCCAGTCCACGAGGAAGACGCCCGAGTCTTCAATACGCGTCTTCGTCTCCTTAGAAGCGTGGATAGATGCATTGTCTTGTTGGAACACAGCAATCTGGTCTTTGAGACACTCTTGCACTTTTCCAAAAACGGGAACAGATACGTCTCAAGTGTCTTGCAATACTTCCCCGAGTTTTGTAGTTCTTCAAGGTATGCGATTTCAGACTTTCCCAACATGCTCCATAACGCTGCTATCCCGCTGACCCGCTTCGAGTACACTTTTTCGTCACTACGGATGCCACAGCAGTACGCGCGTTATCCATTCGGGCCGTCCAAGTCGAACTTCTTTTCGTCCGAGAAGACAACTAGACGCCAAAAATCCAGCTTCGCCATGTGCTATACAACGAAAGCACAGCGCACCTTCAGATACGGCGCCGGCTTCATCTTCTCGTATTTGATGAACTTGCTCGATATTGGCACATTGAGCACGGTGCGGGCAGTCACCCGCACCGATAGTGTCTTGGCGTTACGCTGTTGACAAGTTTCGGACGATGGCGTTGCGGTAAATGCGATATATGTTACGCTTCGTCAACTTCACGCGCATTCCCGACCGCTTCTTCGTACCGTAGGTATCCGGGGACTTCAGGTACGAACACACTAGTAACACAGATCGTTGGAATCGAAGTCCAATCTCACGATTGGACATTTTTTCCTGCTTCCAGGCCAAAATGTGGCTCATTTCGATGCCTGTGAGCTTGTGGTCCCTTGGCATGATGCGCGATTGACCAATTTTATCATGATTTGCGCCACAATCTTGCCTATTCAATGACCAATATATGTTGGTAAATTCAAGCTCACCGGCTGTATTGCACTGTAGACATTGCTCTTGGAGGTATACCCTTCATGGGAAACAATCTCCGAAGTCTTTGTGTTTTTTTATCTGACATTAATCGCGATAACGGTTATACTGAAGATTTCAATGTGCGTGTATAATTATTTCGCGCACTGTACATGTCGTTTTGGTGGATCCTGTGTCATTCCCTATTTGCCGCACAGCATTTTCGAAAAGTAACCTTTTCGCAAATTACTTTGCTTTTCAAAGTACATCCATTTCAGCCAGTCACAAATTTACTCGTCATGTACACAAATCTGCATGTTGTACGTCGCAGTTTGAGCAATGTCAAACAACGTTTTCACTTTCCAGAAGCCACTTCTACACGTAAATGTGACCATGGCATCGACCAAGATACATACACCTTTTGTTTCGACGGGCCATTAGAAATTTCACAATATTCACTTGTCCATGGATCGCCGAGCCATGGTGTCCCCGCGACGCGCAGCCACTTCACAACGGCCAAGATGCCGTTGGATGCAGCACGGTACTTGGTGTCTATGGAGCATCCTTGGATTCGGTTTGCATATCGTCATTGCACAACTTCCAAACGTCCAGTGGCTGTAGCGCTATTCTATGCATTCTTGGAACAGCCCTCGCGTCGTTTTGCATACTGGGACGATCGTTCTCCGCAGCCCCATTTATGGCTTACATACTTCTCACCGATGTTCATGCAGAAGTTCAAACGCATCATTGTGATCGTCACAGCGGCCCCATTGCTCATGGCAGTTGTGTAACCTTCGGAACAAAGCATGATGAGGAAGAGGATGACCGCAAGGTCCCCTGCGAAGAAGTCGTGTCAATTGCCCAAGGTAAGCAACCCATGTCAAGTTGC